GGTAACCCAGATTCCAGGAGCGTACTCACAATCCTGTTACTCTTTTGTTCTCTTGAGGTAACCCAGATTCCAGGAGCGTACTCACAATCCTGTTACTCTTTTTCTCTTGAGGTAACCCAGATTCCAGGAGCGTACTCACAATCCTCTTACTCTTTTTCTCTTGAGGTAACTCGGTTTCTAGGAGCGTACTCACAATCCTGTTTCTCTTTTTCTCTCTTGAGGTAACCCGGATTCCAGGAGCGTAGTCACAATCCTGTTTCTCTTTTTCTCTCTTGAGGTAACCCGGATTCCAGGAGCGTACTCACAATCCTCTTACTCTTTTTCTCTTGAGGTAACTCGGATTCCAGGAGCGTACTCACAATCCTGTTACTCTTTTTCTCTTGAGGTAACTCGGATTCCAGGAGCGTACTCACAATCCTGTTACTCTTTCTCTCTTGAGGTAACCCAGATTCCAGGAGCGTACTCACAATCCTGTTACTCTTTTGTTCTCTTGAGGTAACCCAGATTCCAGGAGCGTACTCACAATCCTCTTACTCTTTTGTTCTCTTGAGGTAACCAGGATTCCAGTAGCGTACTCACAATCCTGTTACTCTTTCTCTCTTGAGGTAACCAGGATTCCAGGAGCGTACTCACAATCCTGTTAACTTGGACTGGATGGTTGTGCTAAATTCATCAATAATTCTTCTATCATGAAATTATTTTGATATCACTATCTTGAATACGTTTTGAAAATAGAGCAATCCATAAATAAATCTTTAATTAAAAAGGCATATATTGGATCTAAATATCATTTATTTTACAATATTTCAGTTGGCTGAACGCCAACCTTTATCAAGGTGTTATAATGAGTTTGTTGTTGACACACTTTAAAATGTTATAACACCTTGATAAAGGTTGGCGTTCAGCCAAATGAAATATTGGTAAAATAATGATATTTTGATCCAATATATGCCTTTTTAATTAAATATCTTGAATATGTTTTGTAAAAAGCAACATTGTATCATATGCCGAAATTATTGATGATTTTTTCCTCACTTTTCGTTTATCGTTGGAATTGGGCTTCAGAGTTGTACAATGGCTAGTTGTTGATCTATTTGTTGAAGACCGTTCCTTGTTTTTGACAACATTCTTTGTATTAACGAAGAATATCCATAGTCTTGATCAGATCCGATAGAATAAAAAGATTCTTTCCTAATAATTCCTAAATCTATTAGTTGAAATCTCTTATCGCTTCTATTCATTTCTGGATAGAATTTGGTAATTATAGAAATATGATCTATTGTTGGAGTCATGAATTCTATGCTCTCATAGTTTCTTTAACTTGGTGAAGGGAAACTTCTTGGCTGGATGTTCATCTTCATGTAATCATTTAGTAGTTTCTTCAGGCATACATCCCTGATATTTGAAAGTTGAGCCTTCCATGAGGGACCATCCAAAAAACCATGGTTACTCCTTTTTCCTCCTGGAGGTATTGTTTTATTTGATTATCACTGGTCAAATCTTCGCTTTTTTATTTTTCAAAAATGGTCGCTCGGGAAGGTAGTCATCAGATAAATCTTCAATTTCAATATATGTAGATCATTCTTTTGATAAATAAATAAAGCGTCCATTTTTTCTATAAATCATTATTTTGTCAAATAGATAAATCGTCGGTTCCTATATATGCAAATCATTCTTTTGTCAAAGATATGAATCGTCGGTTTCTATATATGCAAATTATTATTTTGTCAAAGAGATGAATCGTCGGTTTCTATATATGCAAATTATTATTTTGTTAAAGAAATGAATCGTCCATTTTTATATATACAAATCATTATTTTGTCAAAGAGATGAATCGTCGGTTTCTATATATGCAAATCATTCTTGTGTCAAAGAGATGAATCGTCGGTTTCTAAATATGCAAATCATTATTTTGTCAGAGAGATGTCCATTTCTATATATATATAGATCATTTTTGTGTCAATGAATGGTTCATTTCTATATATGTATATCATTATTTTGATAAAGATATTAATCGTTCATTTTTTTATATGCAGTTTAGATTTGCTTGTCATCCGAATTCTATGAAAAAAATCTCTCTCGTATCATTTTTGACCGACATAAATTAGACTTTTTTTTCCATTGTTTTGTAACCATAATAAAATAAAAATTATTTTGGAGATTTTTTTCCCCCAAATCTACCGAATAAATCCATGGCCCTAAGTGCAATTAGGTCAATTAGGTTCAACTAGGTCTACATTGAGCTAATGTCATATATTTAAATAAAGGAAGGGTAAATAAGCCGAAATAGCTCAGTTGGGAGAGCGTTAGACTGAAGATCTAAAGGTCCCTGGTTCGATCCCGGGTTTCGGCATCTTTTTTTTTTATTTAATAAAAAAACTGCTGAATAAGTAACAAAAAAAAGGCATCTCCTTTATAAGGCATCCGTGTTTATTATTTTACATGCCTTTATTATTTTACACTAGTATTAACAAAGTATCATTTTTTATGTTTATATTTATGTTTATATATTTCCCTCAATACTTATCTTTTGTTTATCCTTCATAGTTTGTCCTTGTCTTAAATAAATTGCTGTCACACCCTGAAGTTTTCTTTCCTAATTTTCCACGTGGCAATATGGCGCAAGCCATCAGCAACTTTCAGTTGCACGATAAGAGAAGATGCCTTTTTCTCAGATTTCTAAATATATATTAGAAAAGCATGTACTCTCACACAGAGATATACCTGACGAAATTGCTGGGAGGGTTCACCACTGATGAGCCAGGCCCTCCCATTAATTTTCCATTGCAGTAAGGGCAGTAGATATTGTTTAATTTTTTAAAGAATCATACGCGTCTATAATAGCTTCGAATTTTTTTCATATACCTTATCATTTTGCTTTAGAAGGTCAAAATGCTGTTCATTTAACATTTCATCATCATCATTTCAGGCATCAAAATACAGTTAAACCTGTCTATAGCGCCTTCCTCTCTATAGCGCCCGATTTTAAATTATAAAATGTAAACATTTTACATTAAAAGTGACCTGTCTATAACACCCCCTCTCTATAACACCCTATTTTGATGAGTTCCAAGAGGGGGCGCTATAGACAGGTTTAACTGCATACTATTTAGTCTGATATTGAGTTAATTTTTATATTTTCTGGGTTTGAACCTATGATTTATATTCTGTTATAATATCTGGGTTGGTCAATCATCGTTTCCTGCATCAAAATATGCTATTTACTCTGGTATTGATTTAATTTCTATATTTTCTGGGTTTAAACCTATGATAGCAACCACCTTCTAGATTTATATTCTGTTAAAATGTCATCTAAAATGGTCAATTTATGTGGATATCTCTAAACAAACCAATATTTTACTCTTTATAGATGCGCCACATTAGATATATAATATTATTTAGTGTCTTATATTTAAATAAAGTTATTGTAAATAAGCCGAAATAGCTCAGTTGGGAGAGCGTTAGACTGAAGATCTAAAGGTCCCTGGTTCGATCCCGGGTTTCGGCATTTTTTTTTTTATCTTAGAAACAAAATGTATTTAAAAAAAACATTTGGATTTCTGATTAAAATAGAAAATTGACAAATCCTAACAATTTAATCATCTATAGTGCTATAGATGGAAATTTTGCCGGGAGGAAATTGATCTAAAGAGACAAAGGACTCTCCCGTCAAAATAGACGTCAAAACTAGACGCTATCTATTGACCGTCGCCGCAAACTAGCGGCCTCGGGTCGGTGACAAGGCCACAACACCAGCTTTGGCAAACTGAAAAGCGTCCACCTAGAGATCATGGTTTCGGGCTAATTGCCTTCGTCAATAAATGACGTCTAGTTTTTTTTTTTTTTTTTTTATTCAGCAGGTTATTTTTTCTAAGATTAAAAAAAAAAAAAAGATGCCGAAACCCGGGATCGAACCAGGGACCTTTAGATCTTCAGTCTAACGCTCTCCCAACTGAGCTATTTCGGCTTATTTACACTAACTTTATTTAATTATAAGACACTAAATAATATTATATATCTAATGTGGCGCATCTATAATGAGTAGAAATATTGGTGACGGGAGAGGCGACCTTTGTCTCTTTAGATCAATTTCCTCCCGGCAAAATTTCCATCTATATTCTAGCCATAGATTTGGCCCAGCCACTTTGCCAGCTAAACACTTCTTTGGCGGATTGTCAAGATTCCATTAGATCCCGTGTGGATCTCATGGAATAAAGTCCGCCCTAGACTGACGAGGGCCATTAGCCCGAAACCATGGTCTCTAGGTGGACGTTTTTCAGTTTACCAAAGCTGGTTTTGTGGCTTTGTCACCGACCCGAGGCCGCTAGTTTGCGGCGACGGTCAATAGATGGCGTCTAGTTTTGATGTCTATTTTGACGGGAGAGGCGACCTCTGTCTCTTTAGATATATAGTGCTGTCTATGATAATCATCCCTACCAAGATAGTGAATTTGATCAATGAATTTAATGAAAATCATATTTGCCGAAGAGCTTTGCTCGATGCAATACCTTGAAATTATATATATGTACCTCTACAGACCTATAAGTTTATGTCCATAGGTTCACTATAAACATTCCTAAGCTGCCTTCCATAGTAAATACAGGGTATATAACAAACCCAATCCAATACACTACAAAAATATACATAGTCGGTAGACAAGTGGGTAACACCCTCGATTCCCGACAGTCATGAACCGGGATTGAATCCCGCGTTAACATTTTGTTTAATATGTAAATAACCTTCACATTCATTGTTGCACATATCATAAACTAGGTTGCTCTTGTTGAGCGGTACCTAATATAGTGATTTTGGAACCGAACCGAACATGCATACATATAAGTCTTTATTTTTTATATTATAAACCTTATGTTATTATATTATAAGCCTTTCGGCTTATGTAAATATTCCTCAACTGAAAAACGAAGGCTTTAAAATTTTGAGAGAGAATATGTTTTACGGGCTACTAATCAAAGGGTATTATTTTCGAGCCCAAAAGAAACCGCAGTCGATAGAATTCGAACCTGTGCGGGAAGATCCTGATAGATTTCTAGTCTATCGTCTTAACCACTCGGCCACGACTGCTTTAAAAAAAACGCCCGAGCAGGGGCCCGAACCCTGGAAAATTAAAAAATTTTGACCGAAATTGTTTACAGTACAGTTCACATTCATAGAAAGTGAAATACAAAAGAAAATAAAGGCAATGAAAGTAGGAATATTAAAATCATGTTAAGTCTTGTTGAATTCTTTTAGTAACTGTTCTGTGAAAAATCGAATAATGCTGTTTATCCTGAATTTGATCTTTACTACACACACCCAAGTCTTTATTAAGACATTCCGTCTTATACAGGCGATTCTCCTGTTAGAAATGAATCTAAAAAGAAATGAGAAGCAGGGGAAGAAATTGAATCCTCGCTCAGAAAAGAGAAAAAGAAGAAAAGGAAAGAATATCTATGTACAAAAGACTATATATATCGTTTTTCGTGAATAGAACACAGTGAGGAAGTAGACTATTGAGTGAATGGTTGCATCTTGTGAAGAACAAAAATATTTCCACACAGTTCAGTTATGTTGTTAGGTCTTTTTTCCTCCTTGCAGTCTTGAAAAAATTAAAGAACTTTAAAATAGCTGACCTATTATCCATCAAGTCTGAAAGAAATTTGATCTTTACTATGAAACTATGATTTACAGCTGGTTTATTGACTTGTAGTTGTCAATTCAATGTGGTCAAATCAATTATATTCTTTTAGTAACTGCTCTGTGAAAATCAAATAATGCAGCCTATCCTGATTTTGATCTTTACTACGAAACTATGATGTTAAGGTAGTTTATTTACTTGTAGTGTGGTCAATTCAATGTGGTCAAATCAATTAAATTATTTTAGTAACTGTTCTGTGAAAATCTAATAATGCTGCCTATCTTTAATTTGATCTTTGCTATGAAACTATGATCTTCAGCTGGTTTATTGACTTTTAGTGTGGTCAATTCAATATGGTCAAATTAATCCAATTATTTTATTAACTGTTCTGTGAAAATCGAATAATGCTGCCTATCTTTAATTTGATCTTTGCTATGAAACTATGATCTTCAGCATCCTCCCGGCAAATTTTCCATCTATGTTTTGCCAAAAATTTGGCCCAGCCACATTGCCAGCAAAACACCTCTTTGGTAGATTGTGAGGATTCCATTAGATCGCGTGTGGATCTCATGGAATAAAGTCCGCCCTAGACTGACGAGGGCCATTAGCCCGAAACCATGGTCTCTAGGTGGACGCTTTTCAGTTTGCCAAAGTTGGTGTTGTGGCTTTGTCACCGACCCGATGCCGCTAGTTGCGGCGACGGTCAATAGATGGCGTCAGATACTGACGTTTATTTTGACGGGAGAGGCGACCATTGCTTCCATGGATCTTCAGCTAGTTTATTGGCTTGTGGTCGTCAAGTCAATGATCTGAAAAAGTTCTGTAATTTACAAGATACTGTATATACGTACATCTACACACTGTACGTGGAATTCTCTATCTGATTGGGGCTTATCTTGGGCTGCGTCTTATCTCCAGCCGCCTTTATCAGGCAGAAGATGCCTATCTCCCTGTCGTCTGGAAAATAACATGTTCATAATTAAAATTATGACTTTTTTGTTGTTGTTGCTGCTACGGTTTTTGCTTCGAAGATAATTCTCAGAAAATATTTCTCTCTTTTTTTTTTTTTTTTAAGTAAAACCTTTCTATAACAAAATTGTTTATATACGTATATAGATATAACTAAAAACATAGCTATAACGAAATTAACTGTCGCATTCTTCATTCTGTTGCATTAACTTCTTAAAGAGATGGTTCTCTCTTTTTAATTTAAAAAAATAATCACTTTGTGATCTTATTTCTACTTTTAAAAACGTATTTTATGGTTGTATTTGACTTTTTAATACCTCTGTATTATAAGGATCTTACACTTTATCTCATATTATGTAAAATGGTAAAGTTTAAAGGGGGGTAGGAATAGTTCGTTCTCTTTATATTTACATATTTTTATGTTGAATTAGTCTTTTAAAATGTCACGACGCATATATATATATATGTATATAATTATATAATCAAATTATATAAAATAAGACAGTTAACTTTGAGCCTCCGTGGCCTAATGGATAAGGCATCGGTCTCCTAAACCGGGGATTGCGGGTTCGAGTCCCGCCGGGGGTATTTTTTTTTTTTTTAATCTTTTTTTTTTTTCGATGATTATTAAGATATAATGATATCTAGTCTATATATATAAAAATGAATGTTTGTCTGTTTGTTTGTTGGTTTGTATGTCCGGTATACAAATTCGCAGTAGTTCACTAATTCAAACCAAAATTTCCATACATAGGTAAAAAAAAATACGGGGAAGACGATAGACTATTTTAAAAAATATATAAATCAATTATTAAAACTATATATTTTTAGTCAGAAAATGATGATGACGATATTTCTGTATCATGTTTGAATATTAGATACATAATTATATCGGGAAAAATTCCAAAAAGCAGAGACCACGGGTGAAACCAGTTCATTATTTTGTACGCAGGAACAAAATTCTAACAGAAAAACATTCATTCGAGCAGAAAACAAAAGCCAGATCATCTTTCTATAAAAATATCGCTTCTCAGACACAAAGTTTGGAGCGGGACGTTGCACAAAAGTGACATCCACGGTGCCAATTTATAATTGTAACGAATATTATTTGAATAAAAACATTTAATCGGGTAAAACCCGGGCGTTGCCCGGGTCATTCGGCTAGTATATATATAAGAGAAGTACACTCATTGAAAAAACTTTAAAGGAATTTTTACCTTTTATCATATATATCGGGATTCAGACTAACTCAGAAAGATATTTGATACACAGGGACCTTTATTGAAGACACTCGAGATAACCAAGTGCGAACAAAATGCCTTCTATTATTAAAAAAAAAAAACACAGACGACCGGCGGGTTCAAATACTTTCCACTTCCTTAAGTTATGTCTGTGAGTAGAGAGAGAGAGACAATGTAGATGAGAAACAAAAAGCGTATGGATAAAACTTATACAACTATACAATGTGGGTTAGAAAATACTAGACGAATGGCCCGGGCAACGCCCGGGTTTTACCCGAGTGCGAATATATTTTAAAAACGTTGTCTTGGGTGGTCGCTATAGACAGGGCGGTCTGTATAGACAGGTGTATGTATCACACAGCCGATAACAGGGTTGTCTAGAGTGGCCGCTATAGACAGGTGTATGTATCACACAGCTGATAACAGGGTTGTCTAGAGGGGGGCAGGGAGGTCACGTGTTCGCCGGCGGCAGCCAATGGGCGCGCATTCTATCCGTGAACGGTGACGGTGAGCTTCAGAATAAGGCAAATATATAAGTAGATTATAAGAATGCTATAGTATCACTTTAAAAATGATAAAAAAATAATTATATTGTAGGTTGGTTTTATAATTTGTTTTTATTTTTTTCATAGTCAAATAAATAAATATGGGAGATGCAAGATGATTAAAAAAATCTTGAAATTTATAAAAATATTTTTAATTTTCTATTTTTCTTCTAAAATATCTATATTAATAAAATGCAAATTTCATAAGTGGTGTTCGCTAAAAACTTTCGTTACAATGCATCAATTTCAACCAAATTTTCAACATTTATGTAAAACGAGATGGAGCAGGTTTTGCTTAACATCAAAATATATTTCCTAACATTAACATGCGTAACTTCGCTGTTATCGATTAAATACAAAAAAAATCAACAGAGTTAATTTTATTTATATATAAATACAAAATTAAATTTCAACAGAGTTAATTTTTTTACATACTAGCTAATAATATCAATCTAAAAAATATTCAAAACAAGCAATTTTAAGATAACACCATATCTAAAACAGTCGGCCAAGAAAATATTATATATAATTAAAACATTTTAAAAACACACAGTTTGGAACGGGACGTTTCACAAGAGTGACATCCATGGCGCCAATTTATAATTGTAACGAATAGTATTTGAATTAAAACGTTTTTAAAATATATACGCACTCGGGTAAAACCCGGGCGTTGCCCGGGCCATTCGTCTAGTATTTACATAAAATTTATTTCTACAATCCTTATCCTGCGATGAATAAAAATTGAAATATGTTTATAATCTTCAACGATAGATGGAGCTTAGTTAATAATGATATGGTGTAAAAAAACTCTTACAACTGAAAAAAAAAAAGATAAAAATAATATAATTTTATTTTAATCATATAATTCCTTCATCGTATTGACACACCCTTTTCATATTGTATTGGACTTGCGGTTCCAAAATAACTTTATTAGGTACCGCTCAAAAAGAACAACCTTAGCTTATGTTATTTATAGTGAATAATATGTATAGGTTTTTCGCATATTAAAAAAAGTGTCCAATACGGGATTCGATCCTGTTCATGGCTGTCGGATATCAACGGTTTATACCGCGGGGTACTAACTTCTATTTGTATTGGAATCCTGTTCAAAATCACATTAATAGGTGCCGCTCAAAAAGAGCAACCTAGATCATCATATTTACAATATACTGAGGGGGGTGGTTATGTACAGGGGTTCATTTACAATTATAATTTATAATGATGTCGTTGGGTCCGGATTCTCAGGTCCTTGGGGATTTTGTTCTTGAGAAAGTTTTTTCTGGCTTGTTTGATATTCAAGGTAGGTTTGTTTTCCTTTTTTTTCCACTTTTCGTCATTCTGGCTTAATTGATGGAGAATTTGTCTAGGTTTTAAATTTCTTATTTTCCTTTTTCCGCATTTGTATTTTGTGGCTTCCTTGAAGGTGGGGTTTTCTAATTTTTCGGATTTTTCGTAGAATTTAAATGATTGTCTAATAATGTAGTCATTGATGTTTTCGATATTTAGTTCGTTCCTGAGGATTTTGGACTGACGGTTCAAAATCACTATATTAGGTATCGCTCAACAAGAGCAACCTAGGTTATGATAATTGAAACAATGAATATATGAGTTATTCACATATTAAACAAAAAGTTAACGCGGGATTCAATCCCAGTTCATGACTGTCGGGAATCGAGGGTGTTACCCACTCGT